TTCTTCTTCTTCTTCTTCTTGCGCTCTTCTTCTTCTTCTTCTTCTTGCGCTCTTCTTCTTCTTCTTCTCTTCTTCTTCTTGCGCTCTTCTTCTTCTTCTTCTTCTTCTTCTTGCGCTCTTCTTCTTCTTCTTCTTCTTCTTCTTGCGCTCACCCATTCCATCGCTGTCTATCGTTCCATTTGCCCACGTCTTCCCGGTGTCCCATTAGACTTGTCTGACGCCTCGCAAGCTCGCCGCTCCCACAGAGCCTCATCGCGCTGCTCGCCCCCTCCCGTCCCACCTCGCCACCGCCTCCTCCCGCCCGCGGCCCTCTTATCTGCGCGCTGCGGAAGCGACGCCCCGCCGCCACCGCCTCCGCACCGTCCCTTCCGCCGCCGCGTCGCAGTTATCCGTGGCCGAGGAATTGAGCGACCTCTAATAAGCCCACTCGTTCTCAACAAGTGGAGAGTCATTGCTTTCTCACAGAGTGAAGTTACAGCCGAAGCACCCACTGTCCCAAGGAGTGACACCTGGCGCAGCACAGAAGCTGTTCCTCAGCAGTACCCATACCTTTAATAGCTTCTCGATTGCCCTACTCACAGACACTGCCACGTACGAAAGTTATTCATTTTCCGTGCCGTGTCGGATTGAACCCTCGCCGGAGCGAGCACGGGGACTTTTCATTACCCGAGGGCTGCTTTAGGTAGCGACAGAAATTGCAGTATTATAGTATTACGTGACCGTGCCTAATCCAAAGAAGTTCGTGGTGTTGCAGCATCACATGTTCGTTGCATTAGGAATTGCTTCCCAGAAAAACAATGGTGAGAGGAACCAGAACGATACTTTGGAGTCGTTTTTCTTTCTTAGACCACAGTTGCCAAGATACAATTTTTCTGGTGCTGAACTGGTTTAGTTCTGAGTTTGTCTTGCGTGTAGAAAGATGTCGGTTTTCCCTCTCAACTTACTGCTGTATTTTGAAATTGTTATATTTTCCTTATTTTCTTTTACCTGGAAGGTTCTCTGCGATGAAGACTGAGTGAGAGTAAAAAAGTGCCAAATTAACGATAATGCTGTGAATGAAGTGATAAAATCGTACAGTTTTTAAAATACGAATGAATGCCCTTATGCCGAGAAGGTTATCTACGCTATTACAAGTAATGTCACTTAAAGGGTCAGTTCTTGTTACGATACGGGAGCGCTGGTGGCGTTGGTTACTTCGTCTGCAAAAATAGTCTCGGAAGTTACGTGTTTATTCAATGCAGAATCTCGAGCATAAGTATGATATTTTTCTGCTTCCTGCGAGAATGTTTGATGTACAAGGTCCAAGGATTTAAATGTAGACCAAATTAAAAATACTAGTTTTCGAATCTTTATTCTACTTGTCCTCTATTGATTTTTCTAAATTACTGTTTTGTCATAACTGTTACAAAATGTTTTTTTTCTTTTCACTAATTATTTGATAAAGTCTGAAATAAATATTGCAAATACATTCTATCTTGGAAATACAGTGTGCTAGGAGCGTATCTCTGCATCGTGCCGATTCATGGGCTCCTATTAAAAATTACATTTATGTTGTAGCAACGAGATCACTGGCAAATAAGTGAAGGGGGGGGGGCAACACTTCCAGCATCTGTGATTACGCAATTTACGTTTTCATTTGTTTCAAGGTTCAGCTCGCGCTGCCTGCATAATTTCTGTTACTTGAATTCTCACATTGAATTTGAGTTTGATTTATAATTTTATAATTTGATTTATAACTTTAATTAAATAAATAAATCCAAGTTGTAATTTTATAACATAAAGCATTTTGGGGTATTCAAAAGAAATTAGATTATTTTACATCTACTCGATGAGGAGGTTGATATACTGAACTCTCCTTAAAATGCATACTATTTCAGGAGACAAAATTAAATTCTGCGAACTACGCCGAAAATGGGTCTTCAAGTTTCAAATGAGAAAATTTTCTTGTATTCTCAGCGTTAAACTTCTAGATCTCCGGTGACTCTAGAGGAGGACACTGCTATCCAATCCAGAGTTTGTATTTTTGAAATTGAAGCTTTTGATTGCAGAGTAGTGCCCCCCCCCCCTCGTGAATCAGCGATGGTCAAGATGTTTAACTCTGAGAAAAGTCAAAGGAAAGCATTATTTACACCAAGTGCCGTTGATTTTGTGAAAGTTAGTATTATTATTCCGTTCTTCCCATTCTGAGTATGCATCAGATCAATTGCAATTTTTCAGATCACAAATGATAAATTGAACGATGAATGGAAGCTTGTCATTCCAATTGGAAACGAAGCGTAGACCACAAGCAGCGCACCCTAAAATGCCTGCCTGCAACAACGTGGTAAAACATTTGTGTAACAAAGTTAATAAAAAATTATTTGGGGTCTGCTTTAGATGCGCTCTTACTTCACGCTTACGAAAGAACCTTGTTTACATGTTGGATCTCCAAGTGTAAACGGCAACCTCGACGCACTAATTCAGCATGACACAAGAAGTTATGTAAGGTGACAGGGGAAACAATTTTGACGAGTGCATGCTGCATACATGAGACTCGTGTAAATGATAATCAGAAATGTGATTTCCATCCAAGGCAGATTCTTGGAATCCAAATAAGATCTTAGAGAGTTTTAACACCATTTAATTGCTATTTGATTAAGTATTTGCATCAACTATTATTTTTAGGCGAAACGGAAAATATGAATTCAGTGGCCTTGATAATTGTGTGAACGTAATTTCTGACACGTAAAATATTTTTAAAAGTTCTCAATTGAAATAAGTATTAACGTGATTAAATGCAGAAAAAATGTAAACTCGAGTAGACTTTACTGATGTGAACAGGTTCGAAATTTTGCATAGGAATAGTTACGTAATGTTTCAAAAACCAGCTTGCTGCCGGGAGAGAAATTGTGTTAAAAACCATGAAGCGACTTGCATGAAAAATAAGCATATCCAGTGCTCTTTCAGAAATTGAATTATAATTATTTGTATACCAATCACAATGCTGATCATCCAGGAACGATTTTTTAAATATAGTTTCACTAGGATTTGTAGGAGGTAAATTCCATGATAAGAACTGGAAATGGAGCATCATAACGTCTTTTTTTATTTCTGTGAGAATATGTGCGAATCGAATGTATTGAAGTACTGTTGAGAAAGTTTCTTTCACCTTGCCAACACGTCACTTCCCGGGAATATTCTTTTACACTACTACAATGGAGATTGTGTTTGGGCTCGCTAACAAATTCATTAGAATAAGTTAGTTGTGTATCCATACAGCAAGAAATTAGGGAATATTACGTGCGATATAAACTTGGAAATATTAATAATATGCATTAATTGATTTACTAGACTTGTATATCGTCATCAAATGTTAATTGCGGTTCTGTTCATTTTTACATCTAGTTCTCATTCGTTTGAGTTTCGGGCCGTGGCTGTACGTTTTTTAAGATAGTTCATTATATTTATATTAATTGGCTCTTTGTCACAAGATATTTATTTCAAATTAAAATCGCACATCAAGTGGCTTGTTAAGAAATCATTTAATCAAATACAGTTGGATATATTTTAATCCTTTTAGATTAGATTGAAATCATTAAATCTGTAATTGACAAATGCCTATTTCAATCTTAAAATTGTGACGTTAACATTAGATATATATTATAAATAATATGGTATTACCATAAAAAATAAATGTCACATATCTTTAGCTAAATATACCATCAACGTGGATTAACAATTAGGTATTTAGATCATTAGATAATGCATGAGAGTTGAATAAATATAAAACTTACTTCCATTCAGTGCATATAATATCTTCGCTCCCAGACTATTATGCATAAATTATCAGATGGACGAGTCGCACAATTACCCGTCTCCGTAATCAAAGGGGAGCGTTACATTAAGTTACATTGCGCCGCCAGACACGGCGCGCTCCGACGCCGCAGTGAAGAGCGAAGGAGGAGCAAAGGGAGGAGTCGGGGCAGCTCCCGTTTTCTGCTTTGGCTGCCGCGATCCGACCTTCCCGCTGTCATCCTATTGATTGATCGACAGACAGCCAGCGCTGCGTTTCGGTCACGCGAACTTCGTTCTGCGGGCTGGCAGCGCGCTCCGCTCTTGTCGTCGGCAGCAGCCGGTCCATGAAAGGGGGCGGGGCACGCCCCCTCCACTCGGGGAGAGCGTCTCGCGTTTCTGTGGCGTCGCTTTGTGGCGGTAAATGCGCTTCGCTTTTTTTGTGCCTCGCTCCGATGCTTATCGCGCTGCCCGGTTGCCCGTGGTTTGTGGATCAGCGGGGTCGGTTCGTGATCTGCTATTCGCAGAACGCTCTCGCTGGACATTCGTTGTTGTTCATCTGGGAATGAACGTTCAAAAGTGTTTTATGGCTATGAGAAGAAAGTTCTGGTTTAAAAGGTTGAAGAGACATTTGATGTTCCAAAAAGAAAGTGACACCAAAATCCATGTGTTGATATTGTGCTCATTGATTCTTAATTACTCGTATTTCCTGCAGATCTTTCAGATGAGGCTTATTGTTACTTACCTAAATACATCAAAATATTAGATTATTTCAAAGAAATGTTTTATATTCTATGAATTTGCATGTAATATATAAACGTCGTAAGATTTTTTGTTTGTTTTAGGTGGTGTTTAACAATAAATCAAATGTCAACTGATTATCAAATATATACTGACTTCTATATTAAAAATATTTTTGCTTACTTTTTATTTGTTGAAGAAATATTGTTAATTTGTATGTGGGCACAGCGAAACAAGAGCTCACCAATTAGTATGAGTGTACTTTAATATTTTTTAAGTGAAGCGAAATTACAAATCTTAACAGGAAGGACTTTCAGAAATGCACCAGAAAACTTGGAAGTAAAGGAAATTTGTTCCATGAAATGAGTGGCCACTCCGTTTTGGCCTGTGCCTGGTAGAACAACAGTTTTTGAATTGAATTGAATTGATGCCTTATTGTACGTGGCGAGACTCGGGCCATTAGGCCCTCTCTTCGATCTGACCACGCAAATTTCGCTACGCTCCTTTCACCCACTAGCAAAAAAAGGACGCATTTGTTGGGCGAGAAACAGACGATTTGAATTTAGCTCAGAGGCGTCATTTAGGCTTGAGGATTTTATACATTGCAAGTAAATCTACTAACAAGGGACAGACGTCTTTACTTCCCCTCCGAAGGGAGGCGTACGAAGGATGTTTTCGCCCTTAAAAATCGACGGCTTCGATACGCTAACCGTTACACCATCGCCGCCGCATTTTGGCCATGGTTGTATTGCTGGAGGTCGCGCTGGAGTACTTACCACGCGGGACGCCTCAACGACAGCGACGAGGGCCGCGGCTCAATTTTGAACCGTTCGCGTGATAAAGGGTGACTATTTATGCTGCTGCTGCCGCTTTGGCCGTCGCCTGCCACGCCTCCGGATAACGCTGCTGCCAGTTCCTTTGTCCGTTTCGAGAGTCCGCTAAAAATAACCGCTTCTGAGAAACACTGCTGGCGGAAGCCAGCCCGTGCTCAGACACGGAGACACGAACTTCTTTGCGACCTGTTCAAGTAGCCGCTCGTTTAGGGCAAATGGTTTGGAAATTGTTCGTCGTGTCGTTCGTGTCAAAATATAAACGTGGCTCGAAGGGCTTTTAGGCCAGTGCCTGGATGACGCACAGTTTGGGTCGTGGTTATGTTGCTGGAGGTTTGCGCACGATATTTTCCTCTTGCAGAAAGAATAAAAAATCAGATGAGTAGGAGAAAATTCATAATTTTCTGACCAATCAGTTGTCATAGAATTTGCCTCTGGCAGGAGTGACCAGGAGTCCCCGCCTCTTTCCAGCCTCTTACTCCACATTTCTTGCATAATTATCTCACCCGTGAAAGTGCCACGTCAATCATGCATCTACATTAGGCTTTTGCTCCGGGTTCAAATACCGGGCTCGTTGGAAGAATTGCATGTGACGTCCCAGTTCATGTGACATATTAACATGGTGACATGGTGATTCACGGGGTGACATATTAAACCATTAATATAACGAAGATACGCCGCAATGATATTGGATATTGTTCTTCAAAACAAAGTATGTCCATTGTCCAAATTCATGAATGTGTCCTGTCTTCATTTATGAATAGATTAATCTGTGAGTTCTGACCCTAGGCAACTTTAGTGTAATCCTATGAGAGAAAGAGAATTATAATGGAAACCTTTGTGGTTTGAAATTACTTAACCATTTAACTATTCTTTGTTATAAATTATACTATAAAAATACAATACATTTCTAGCGGTGAAATATTAAGAGTGTCCAACGCCTGTTATCGATTTTGAAGACCCCAGACTGTGTACAGAGGTGATTAATTCACGCTCCAGGTTTTTAACCGAGCTCTCAATTTCTTCACAGAAGGTCTTCTTTCCCCAGTTACTATAAAACAAGAAGTAGACGACCAACTTTTGTGTACCGAGAACACCACCTTCTCAACTCTGTATTTGGCAGAATTATTATGTAATAATAATAATAATAATAATAATAATAATAATAATAATAAACGATTATTTGATATAATTCTCTAGTAAAGATTGTGAATTCTCTCTGGAATTGCGATACCATGAATTTGTGATAAAATTTTCTAGAAAAACTTATTACGGCAATTTTTATTCATCTTCTCTTCACTAGCGGATGGTGGGCCGTGGATATCAAACCAAAATAATTTTCAAATTACTTAGCAACTGTTCCCAAAAATTGCGTAATGACTGGCACTGCATTTGCTTTGTTAGGAATTTCTCACGTGCTATTCTTTTCGATTTATTATTATTCTGATTATTGTTATTATTTTTATCTTTACTGTAATTTTTATTATAGTTAGTCTCGTATGGGCCACTACTGACCACGCAACACATTTCTCTCTCAGAGGCCCAATTGTATTCTATACTGGAGAGATGAACGTGTGGAAGTATGGGAAAAACCTTTCGGCTCCATCTCTTGGTTATGAGAGGTTGGTTGTTAGCCTTCAATATCAATTAGGAGGGATAGGACGATGCTATTATTTAATATTATTGTTATTATTATTACTAGTATTATTATTGTAGATGGTAAGTTTCACGTAGGTTTGGACCATATAGGATCAGCCTTAGACCGATTCCATGAATTAAGACTTTAGTAGTTTGTTTCTCTCTCTCTCTCTCTCTCTCTCTCTCTCTCTATATATATATATATATATATATATATATATATATATATATATATATATATAATATGTTAAAATCATTTTACTCAGAGTATAACATATTACATGAAAAGTTTTTAAAAATGTGGAAGGTGACATCCAACGTAGTAGTTACAATAATTCATGCGTCAGTTGCGGTGGGTAGCTCAAGACTAGATACGTTAAGGAATGACAGTGCAACTACTGTAAATTCAGGGCATCACGGAGTGAGCAGTGGAAATAGTAAACGTAATTAAAAATGTTGGTTCATCAGCAACGACTTATAAATTTGGTTAAGTTTTTGTAGGTCTCTTTTAGAAGGTCACTTATGACCACGCTATAGGTTTTCTTTTTTTTTTTTTTCTTTTTTTCTTTTCCAGAGATCAGTCATATTTTACTCCGAAGAGATTATCGTGTGTCATTATGGGGATCAGCGTTTCGCCTGGATCTCTTAGTTAGACAAGGTTGTTAAGCCTTAATTATGAATTTATGAAGTGATAGGATGATGCTGATGAGGGGTGAATGGACAATCGCAGATACGATCATCCATACACAGGACTCGAACGTGCAGTGTCCTGGACGCAAACGACGGCTGCCGCAACCGTCCGCGCCAGGGATTAATAATAATAGAAATAATAATAATAATAGAAATAATAATAATAATAGAAATAATAATAATAGAAATAATAATAATAATAATAGAAATAATAATAATAATAGAAATAATAATAATGATAATAATAGAAATAATAATAATAACGGAAATAATAACGGAAATGTACCAATTTATTCAATTACTGAGGTTGTTTAAAACATTTATTGGAATAATCCTACAGTGTGTTCGTATGGTACTTTTCGTGTAAAAAAAAGAAATTATATTTATAAGACCTACTTAATCTAGTGGAGCCCATGCCTTGTGCGCATGTGAGGGTAATAGATTCAAACCACGAGGCAGGCAAAGGCTGGGAAAAGCACCCGGCGACGTACTTGTGACTTGCGGCGATCTCTCAATGTCGCTGGCTCGCGGCGTGGGCCGGCAGGAGGCATGCGAGCGCGGGGGTGGGGGCGGCAGCCAGTGCACGTGTGGCCCAGCTGTTCGACGACACCGCCTCCGCCACAGTGCGCCGAGGCGACCTCTCCTCGCGGCAGCTGCCGCCTCCGCCGTCTCTTCGCTCGCTTTCGTCGCTGTCGTCTTCGTCGGTGTCATTGCCGACGCTGCCGTTGGCGCCGCCATTTTGCAACCGTTCCGCCGCCAATTTCACGAGGGTGAACGATAGTAAAGGAAATCGAGAATTGTCAGGGAATTTAGTACAGTTTGAGAAAGAGAGGGAACTTTCTTGCTTGATTTGAAATCCCCTTTTCGGGGTAGATCCATTTTCTGCATGTATCTGATTATGTTGTCTTATTGATAGTCGTATTTCTGTTTTGAATTTTTGGAAGTTTTAGAAAACCACTGAGTGAGAGTAATGTTTTTCGCAATTGCGATCTAAAACATGAAAATCTGAGAACCTTAACGGATTTCGTTCCTAATCGTTCAGAGCATGATTGTCAAACTGGCAGCCCGCGACACCATTTATTGTGGCCCGCGAAAGGTTATTAGTCGAAAGTGAAGGCCCCTTGTAATCATGTTGGGCGAGAACATTGTGTACCTAGCGCACGCGCCCTGCTGGTGTCCAGCCATATCCCTTTTAAAACAAAAATAGGTACAGTTTAGATTAAGGAATTTGTGAAATAAAACCAGAAATTAAAAATCATCCCAATTTGATGCTTTGCGTTATGCATGGTACGACCTGATATTACGCCTGCTTCCATCGCTCCTCATTTCCTCCCCTCCCCCCACTCCCCCAGATGAGTTGAAGGGAAAGTCAGGTGTCGATCGCCCGAGTAATGAAAATATGGCCCCCGCAACCATATAACGTGTTTCAGTTGTGGCCCTTGAGTTCTTGCATGTTGGACACTCCCGATTTAGAATATTTCAAGCACTGTGAAATCTGTCGACGTTTTCAAATGTTTTGCATTGTAGTTATGTGTATGCTGGACCGCTCTAGTTTTATCCACTTTCGGAGTTTATTTTCTCTCATCTCAGATTTGTTAACGGTTTAATCGCTTTGCGAACGCTACCACCTGTACATTTTACTTCTATTATTGAAAATACTAATACACCCGTGCAAGCAATCTCTTCAACCTTGCCAGCTTCACTGATGCTTAATGACGCTGTGTTTGGTTTTTTATTCAAAAGTACTCCATGGTCCAGTTCAATTGTATTTAGTGGTTGAAGCACTAGGCTTACCGTACTCCGTCTACGCTTTTTTTCACATATGTGGCTGACTTACTGAGAACATATTGTTTGTTCTCTAGCTTTGAAAGAGCCAAGTATTTACTTAGAGCTCATTTTTGATGTAACAATTATCCCAACTGCAACCATTGACTGAGACAATTTGCTTAGGAACGTTATGAAGGATAAAGATTTAGAGATGAGCAATGTTCTAAAAAGTGGAAAAATAATATTTTTTGTAGAGATTACTGGCAAGTGTTACCTGGGCAAACTATGAATATATCCGGATATCTTGAATTGCAGGTGTAATATTTGGAATTTGCTGTCTAATTTCATTTGAAACAAAACTATATTCCAATGTCAATCTACGAGAATTTTCTGTATGACTACATGATTAGAAAAATAACTAACACGCAAATCTAAAAAATGATGGCGTCAATGTGATTTGTACTTAACCAATAAATGTGTGACATATACCAAAATCTATCTATAAAGGTTTCATTCCTTTTTATTATATCTGTAGTTTAATTGTTTTACTAAAATTATTAAAATTTGGCTCTATTGTGTTGTAACAGTAATTACTGCTTCTGGCCACTAGCTAATATTCATTCCACACTAGAAATCCTATGAAGCTGAACATTTTACTGATGCTTAAGTACGAATTTTAAGTATTCAAATTAAATATTAAATATGTGCCTTGTAACTCGCTTAAACTCTCCCAAATGTTAATTTGCTTATTATCTCGAAAGCATTTCAATGTACTATATGTTTTCATTTTTTTCCTTTCATTTGTTAAGTGTTTTGAGAAAGCATGCATTATAAGTTTAATCTCTAAAATAAAAAGGTTTGGAATTTGTGAATGTTTATCCTAATTTCTTAAAATACTGTCACATGTTTATGTGAATATTCGAATTTGATGAATCGTATTTCAGAGCTTACTTTGATGGGTGCCGCGGTAACAGATCGATTGTTGTTCAATACTATTCCTTTACTCTGAACTAAATAATTTCTTTCGTAATCAAGAACTACTCACGAATATTCTGCACTAAATTTGGTTATTCTATGACAATAAAGATCGTTGCAATTCATTTTTCTTTGAAGATCTCTACACCTGACTAGTTTGGACTAACAAATTCATTCTTTTTGTCAAAGGGCAGTGAATGGCATGTTGTTCAGTTTCGTTAGAACTGCAAGTCGCACTCGTTTACAAGCAATGAATCTTACTGGTGCGTTTAGCGAGCGAAGTCGAATGCGCCAGGGAACGCGACGCGATAACGAGCGCCAACTCTGTCAAGCTCGTTAGTATTCGCAGGGAACTTGAATTTGCTTGCTTGAATTTGCCATTCGCTCTTTAGGGTGCGAGACGCCATATCCCTTTCTCTGCTGAAGATCGATTTTTCTAGAGATAATACCTAACATTCACTATTTTTCTTGTTAGAGAAGGGGAATAATTTCTTCAAAGCGGTATTTCGCAAACTATATTTAACCCGACCTATAAGTTTCTATTTTTCTCATACGCGATGATTTTTCTACTTATAGAATGGTTTTGTAATACGTTTTTTTACCGTTTTCAGGCTCTTTCTATTTTTCAGCATAAACTAACGAAATTTCTAGTATGACAAGTAGACCTGATTTCATACGATTGGGAAAACAGGTCCATGTGCTGGTAAAGTTTCCTCATTTAACTATTCTTAAAACGCTCGTAGTGCATCTTTTGAAAAGTTTTCAGGCGTGCGTACTTCGAAGCATTTCCTTTCGGTTAAAGGTTTTTGGAGATTAAAACTGAAAAATAGTTTTCCTCATACGACATTCGTTGATGCGGAAGATGCCATTTTCTCTGCTATCTTTCCACTTGTTACCACCACTCATTTTTAAAATTGCGAAAAGGTGGCTGCGCCTGGTCCTCTCCCAAAATTATAATGTGCTATGTTATTACAAAACAAATTATAATATGGTAATCCCATGTAGTAAAAATTAATTTTATGAATGCTCGCAAATTCTGCTGGATGTAACTTGAATAATCTATTGAATAGTTTATTTCAGAAACCAGTCAATCGTAGAAAAAGGAGTTCATGTATACCCCATTAAATATATCATTAACTTTTCCTTCACTGAAAATTGAAATATGTGCAAATGTTCTCCAAAATGTTCAAATCCCTTCCAATTTTTTTCTTCCGATTTTCTCGAAATTGGGTAAATTAGCGGGCTGGTTTCTTAAATAAGATATTCAAATACATATTCCACAATTTGTAGCAATTTCAATTGCATGTTCAGCTCGTGAAGTTGGAAAGACTCCGGATCGACCGGCGTGCGAGAGCCTGCGAGCCCGTATTTGTGTTTGCGCAGGCCGTGAGAGGGAGGCACGCCTCGTGACCTTGAACTTAAGCACGCTGGCTTGTAGACGGGCTGCAGGCGAGAGTGCTTGACTAACAGTGAGGCACACTTTGCTGCAGAACCTGCTGTGCCGCCGCATGCATAGGCTACTTGCGTCACACCTCGCTACTCTCTTACGTGTAACAAAACACCTTTCACCAGACATTTTTCTGTTTCCATTTTACGAACATGATTTTGTGTAATAAAATGTTGTATATTTGGCATTGTATGTAATTTGCCTCGGGTACTTAAATCTTAATTCAATAAAACCTGAAGAAAACGTGTGTGGACTTGATCGTAGATTTATTACTTACTATTCATATGAAAAAATAGACATCGATTTTTTTCCTTAAAGACGTATGTTTTATGGATTGAAAATAAAAATTTCTTCCGACCGAAACTGTTTGGAATATCTCTTACTCTTTTAAATACGATAGTTCAATAGAATATATTTTTCTTGGTGAAATGTACCAGGTTTCCATTCATGTTGAACCTCATGAAATTGTTATTTTATAAACGAATAATATTACAATTTGAAAGTCTAATTGAGATTAATATCAAAGGATAGTAAAGGGTTTTCCAAATAATGTGTTTTTTAAGCGAGATCGTTGCAATAAATCAATATGTGAAATATCCCATTACGTTAAATTACAAGTTTTCGATTTTTATACTTTTTCTATATTAGAGTAAGGGAACTATTTACATATTCTCTTTTTCTTTATTCATACACACAAACACACACTCACGCAAGTAACGAAGTAAGTAACCATGGACACAATTCAGTTGTGTGATATTGCTGGTGAGCTGATTACTCCGCAGATCAAATACAAAAGACGTACAAAATTAAAGTTCGCAGCTTAAGGTGTAGAGAAAAACTACCGCCCACGTAGACCGTTACACAGGATACTCTGCAACACATTTTAACTATGTGCATTACTTGAAAAGATGCGTTTCAGGCGCTTAAAGTAGGGTTTTCAATGGAGCACGATTTAGGTTTCTCAAGCCGCAATTCACTCACTTGCACCTTTTTGATTTTTATTGTTTTTGGTCTGTCCTGTCTGTCGTGTGAAAATTGCAATGTCGAATCTCCCGCGCGTGTTTTGCTGACGAGTTTTCACGAAATGGGCGAAGAATTAATAAGATTATAGTTTCAGTATTATACGAGTATTACGTAACAATACGAGAAAGTATGTTCTGTTGAATCGCCACTTCTTTGAGCAATAACCCTCGTCTTGTATATTCAATCACTTACGATGTTGTAATTTTATGTTCCAGGGCAGTTCGCTTAGCTCATAGCTATCGTACTAAAGTTCAGTTACACCTCCTGTATATAGATTAGGGATATACCAAAGTTAACTCGAGCACGAAGTTCTAATTACGATTTTTACTTGTCGAATAATGCGTGCTTTCAGGCGATTAGGTGAACAATGTCACTAATAGTTTACTTGAAATAAGTCTGAAAATCGTTTATGGGCAAAACCTTTCTTTCATAGAGAAATTTTTGAAAATAGAATTCAAATTGAAAAAAATATCTGGCTTATAAGGAAATGGGGATTTAGGAAAACGTTCGAGCGTTTCTGAAAATGCTCACTTTTAATGTGATTTAGTATGATCGGAA